CAGATGGACCTCCAAGCTGCGAACCTCACTCTTTGTAGTGCGAGTCACTCCCCCAAAGGAGAGGGAGTTTCCCAACCCACCAATGGAGGGGCCGCCAACCCTCAGGACCTCTGTCTTGTCTGGGTTCAGCCGGACAATATGTATTTGTCATTTTTATGTGTGTATTTGGAAGCTGCCTAGAGTGGTCACAAGACCAGATAGGCGGGATATAAAATAAATAAATAAATAAATAAATCTATTCTCTTGCATCAGGGCAGTACAGAAGCCACAACATCCCCATTCTTAGCTCCTCTGGAACTTGGGATAAGTACTAGATTGTTCACTCACTTAAGGAACTGATAGTGTTCTGTCTTTTCTGCCTCACAGAAAACAACTGATCCAACTCCACTTAATTCTGTGCAGTCAATGGGGAACTTGAGTAAGGGGGATCTCAAACAGAGATGGACATGAACCTGGCTTGGCATGTACTGCTGCCAAACCGGGTGTCATTCATCGTGTATTTGTGCATCTGTTTGTTTTTTTTTCTGCCTAAATAGAGGTGTTCATATTTTCCCTGTTGAAACTCATTTTATTTGCTTTGGCCCATTTTTCCATTTCTCCATTTCTCTATTGTCTTGATTCTGTTTTAAGGATTAACTGCCTCTCTCAATTTAGTGTTATTTGCAAAATTGATGAGCATCCATATCTCTTATAAAGACTTGAATGCTCTTCCAAGACCACATGCTCATTTAAGTCTTCAATAAAAATATTGAATAACATGATGTCCAGGACAGAATTTTGCAGCACTCCCTTGTCATTTCTCTCCAGGATAACAAGAAACCATTGGTGAATTATTTTTAGATGTAATCTGTCAACTAGCTATAAATTCAGAAAGGAAAGAAAGGTTCAATTTTCTTAAGTTCTTTGTGTATAATAAAGGGCTGCGCAACCTGTGGCCCAGGGTATAGCTTTACTAGGAGTAGGGATTACACAAAGTTTGAGATCCTGTTTGAAGTATTTCAGAAATTTAAAAACAATGCTCTGAGAACTGCAGAGCTGGAAGGGTCCCCATAGATCATCAAATCCAGCCCCTATCAAGGGCTGAATCAAGCTCCCAACTTCTGGCTCTTCAGCCGGATACCTAAACTATTGAACTATCCAGCAATTTTACTACTACAAAATTCTGTCCAAATTATTGTGAACCCATTTCAGAGCAGTCCCAGAATGCTGTAGAATGACCTGTGCACAAAAAGAATGCTCAAGCAAATCCATCAAGACAGACAAACACATTTTGAAGTTATTTAAGTGGTACAGCCCTTTATATGACTGCTGTTTATATGTATAATCCAAACTCGTTCAGCTGCTTTTTACTACTACAAAAATCTGTCCAAATTATTGTGAACCCATTTCAGAGCAGTCCCAGAATGCTGTAGAATGACCTGTGCACAAAAAGAATGCTCAAGCAAATCCATCAAGACAGACAAACACATTTTGAAGTTATTTAAGTGGTACAGCCCTTTATATGACTGCTGTTTATATGTATAATCCAAACTCGTTCAGCTGCTCTTATTCTCAGCAATTATGTGTATGTCCCATTTGCAAAATGGGAGTGGAGTGATCGTGCTCACCTGACTCAGATTTAGGGTTGGAGATCCTGTTTCATGGTCTAGGGGCCATTTATTTATTTTTATAGATATACAGTTAATCTGTTTTCTTGTCTGTACAAGCAAAGAATGGGATAAGCTCTGGATTCATAGAATTATCATGTTGGACCTCCTTGAATGTACAATTTGCTGTCCATCCTGCATTTCCCGGGTTTCTGTCTCCCTTGTGTTTTGTGTAGCTTCATTATCTATGGTTGCCATTGTCTGTTGTACCCACTCTTTACAGTCTGGTCAGTTTATAAAGAAACTTTCTATTCAAATGTGCGAGTTCAAGAAATAATGACTGCAATGGGATTAAGGCACATTTTATTTTGGCTGCACCAAATATGTATCTTCTTTTCCTGCACTAGTTATTTCTCCTCACTACACCACCACCACATTACCAAAATGCCTAAACAAGATTCTGAACTTCCATTATAGCACAGAGATATTGCAGATTAATAAAAAGCTATGTAGACAATGATATGCTTCTCTGTCTATTTGCCAGGATTACATATTCTATATGGGATTCCATTGCAGTGTGTAGGTTTGTATTTGCTTTGCCCTTGTGATCACCTGTGGCCACCAGAATACTTTAGATGGCTTAGCAATTTACATGCAGATTTTCCGTACAAAAACTATTGTCATAATAAGCAAAATGACTTTGCACTTTTGGGTCTATTGTGTGGCAAGGAATCATGGACTTTAACAAAGGCTACTATAAAAAAGAAGAAATTGAGATGGGGATTCATCACAGGATGCTTAAACTTTCCTGGATTGAGATGTGAAGAAATACAAATAAAGAAAGACAAAGAAGTTATAAAAGATATGAAATTCAGAAAGCCAGAGTATTTCAGTTGCTCATTATCAGGCCTATTTCGTGGCAATATGGCTGGCGAAATGGCAATATTTCTCCAGCCGTAATGCTTCCTCAGAATGTCGTCCAGCAGAGCTGTTTCGGGTGGTCCGGGATCTTCTTCAACCAGGAAATCCAGTGGAGGTCCCGGACTGCTCATCAGCTCACTGTGTTGGGTTTGCCATTCATTTTGAATCTCTCAGATTTGCAGTGGGTTGGACTCCACTGTTACTGCAGAATCAGAGGATGTGTCCAGTGTGCTGTGCTTAGGTCAAGTATTAATGGATGAGTTTCAGTTGTTGAGACCTGAGGATATGGACAGGATGCTTGTATCTGTCCATTTGATCACCGCTCTGCTTGATCCTTGCCCACCTTGGCTAATTGGAAGATTTGCCAGGGGAGTTCGCACCTGGGTCCAGGAGGCCGTGAACGCCTCTTTGAAAGAGGGAGTGGTCCCTACCACCTTGAAAGAAGCGGTGAGTCGCCCACTCCTTAAAAAACCTAATCTGGACCCAAGGCTAATGGTTAACTACCGACCAGTGGCGAACCTCCCTTATTTGGGCAAAGAGTTGGAGCGGGTTGTGTCCAGGCAACTCCAGGCGCTGCTGGATGAAACGGATTTCCTGGATCCATTTCAGTCGGGTTTCAGGCCGGATTTTGGTATGGAGACTGCCTTGATCACCCTGTACGATGACCTTTGAAGGGAGAGAGACAGGGGGAGTGTGACCCTGTTGATACTCCTGGACCTCTCAGCGGCTTCCAACACCATCGACCATGGTGTCCTTCTGGATAGGCTGGCTGGGTTGGGAGTTGGGGGCACCACTTTATGGTGGTTCCACTCCTTCCTGGCTGACCGTGTCCAGAGGGTGGTGCTGGGGGACAAGTTACTCTGTCCCATGGCATTTATGTCATGAAGTTCCTCAGAACTTGATGCTTTCCCCAAGATGTTTAACATCTACATGGAACTGCTGGGAGAGGTCATCAGGAGGTTTGGGCTGAGGAGTGAGCAATATGCTGACTCAGCTCTACCTTTCACTTTTCACCAATCCAGGTGAGACATTTTCTGTGCTGAACTTGCGTCTGGGCCTGATAATGGACTGGATGAGGGTTAATAAATTGAAACTCGATCCAGACAAGACAGAAGTGCTGTTAGTGGGTGCTTCACCAGACAGACTGGAGGGCCATTTTCCTGCCCTGAATGGGGTTACACTCCCTCTAAGGGACAGGGTCCGCAGCTTGGGGGTGCTCCTGGACCCCATTCTAACACTGGAAGCCCAGGTGGACTAAGTGGCTAGGGGCACCTTCCTTAAGCTGCGGAAATTATACCGGCTATGGCCCTACCTGGACGAGCGGAGTCTCATGACAGTTACACATGCACTGGTAACATCTTGTATACATTACCTTGTATACAATACCTTCTATGTGGGGATGCCTTTGAAGATGGTCTGGCAACTGCAGCTGGTCCAGAATCGAGCTGCGTGGCTGATGAGTGGTGGGGCCGCTAGGGGACATATCAAGCCAATTCTGTTTAAATTACATTGGCTACCAGTTGCTGCCCGGGCCCAATTCAAAGTGCTTGTTTTGACATATAAAGCCCTAAACAGCTTGGGCCCTGGATACCTGAAGGACCTCCTCCTTCCATATGAACCTACCCGGCAGTTAAGATCTAGCCAGGGGCCCCTTTTGAAAGAGCCGTCCATCAAGGAGTTATGAGGGATGGCTTGTAGACTAAGGGCCTTTTTGGCAGCGGCCCCCAGACTATGGAATGCCCTCCCGACTGAGATTCATCTGGCACCGACGCTGATGACATTTCGGTGCCAGGTCAGAACCTTCCTGTTCCAGAAGGCTTTTAATTGAAATAATATCAACTGTGGGTCCTGATGGCAATTTTTAGAGCATATGTTTTAATTGTTTCTAATTGTTTTATCTTTTTACCGTATTTTAATTGTTCTAAGCCATCCAGAGACCTTTGGGTTAGTGCGGGCAGCATATAAGTTAAACAACTGAAGAATAAATAAATAAATAATAGGGAACCAAAAGTACAGATTGTTACAGCTGATCATTCAGGGGAAGATAAATAAGAAACAACTTGTAAGAAAGAGAAGAAATCAATTTTCTGAAGATCCCTTGGAGAGGATTGGATGCATTATTTGGATACAGAGCAGCATAACTCTTTAAAAAGTTATCATGTCCCAAGTCAGAATAACGACGTTAAGGTCCAGTCTTTGGTAGGAGAGGAACAGGGGAAAAAAATTAAATTTACAAAAGGGAAGGTGCATGATTTTCCAGCTCTGGCGTTATGATATTTTGTTGACTTCTCTGAAAGAAGCTTCAAGAGTTGTTCTCTTACAGTTTTTTTCATGCTATGTTAATTAATTAACACAATATCACTCCTGTTGCTTTTTTTAATGCCTGTGACAGTCGGTGATATTTGCATTAACCTTTTCCTCCCCAAGGTGACAATACTGAGTGAGCAGGCTTTTGTTTCTTCCCTAATGACTTGCTTCTGCTGGTTTCCACAGCTGGGGCACTCAGGGTGACTTCAACACGACACATGCCCTTCCAGCAGTGAAGGTGAAACTATTTACAGAGAGCACCGGCGTTCTGGCTTTAGAGGACAAAGAACTTGGGCGGGTAAGAATGAAGATGCCTCTTCAGCATGAGGAAATCTCCCTGGTGGCAGCATCAGTAGTAGCAGTTTAATAAATCCAAGATGCTAAACATCATGTGGTCTGTAGTGATGGGAATTAGAACAATATCATCTCTCCTCTCTGGTGTCACTTCACAGCGGCAGAATAGTTGCTGGCTATCCTTTCTCGTTTAAGTATATGCTTCTTGCTCTTATGTGTCCTTGAGTCACTTCCATCTTATGGGAACCCTCTGAATGAATTTTGAGGTAATTGATTGATAGGGCTTATTAGGTTGAAACATTTTGCTACCCCGGTCTGAAGCGAAACCAACATGGAGAATATATCCGGTCTCTCCTACCAGCTCTCCTCAGACTGAAGAAGGCGCTTGGTTGAGTAGCAAAACGTTTCAGCCTAACAAGAAAGAAGTCCAGTTGCCGTGACTCAACTTCCAGAAAACAGTTGTGTTGTTTTGGAACCATGTATAACTGCATAAATAGCACTTGGTTGAGTAGCGAAACATTTCAGCCTAACAAGAAAGAAGTCCAGTTGCCGTGACTCAACTTCCAGAAAACAGTTGTGTTCTTTTGGAACCATGTATAACTGCATAAATATTCGCTATGTAGTCCCACTTTTTATGTCTGAGGAAGTGGATTTGTCCACAGGCTCATGTTAAAATATAGTAGTTAGTCTTTAAGATGCCACAATTGTCTTTTTAATTTTGTTTTGGCCCCATTTGCTGGAGATGGTGGAAATAGGGAGATGATTTATTTCAGGGTGAGAGCAGATCTGTTTAGGCAAAGAGATGCATATGCAAATCTGTTCTCTCCATAGAAATGACCTTGAGGGGAGGAATGTTCTCTTAAAACTCTGAGCTCCTATACCTGCAAAAATGTGCATATATGAAGACTGATGAAGCAGAAAGGAAATTTGCCCTTTCTAGTTCCATGAACTTTCCTGTACTCCTTTGTCTATTCCTTCTTCCTCAAAGTATCATATTTTGGGAAATAGATGTAGACTATAATATTTATGCATTTTGTGTCTTCTGTGCTATTTGGCATGAACAGATTCTATATATAACAACACACACTGTACAGTGGTACCTCACTAGATGACCTTGCAAAACAACAAATCGCTGTAGTGATTCGCAAAACAGTGATTCCAATGGGCAATTTTCTCTGGACAATGATTTGGTCTGTGCTTCGCAGACCATTTTTTCGCAAGACAACAATTTTTACAGCTGATCGGTGGCTTCGCAAAATAGCTTCCCTATGTTTTCGGGACTGATGCTTCGCAGGACAGCCATTTTAACAGCTGATCGGCGCTTTGCAAAATGGCTGCCCTATGGGCGATCTTCGCAAAACGACGATGATTTTTCCCCATTGGAATGCATTAAACGGGTTTCAATGCATTCCAATGGGGAAATAGTTTTCACAAGACGATGATTTCACTAAACAGCAATTTCTGTGGAATGGATTATCATTGTCATGTGGGGCACCACTGTAGTCTGGAGGCAATATCTCTCAATTATTTTGTATTTTATTGTACTGATACAGCAAAATGGCACAAAATGATTACCAAATTTTATTTCACTGTGGACTGTACAAATTTAACCTCAGAATCAGATAATGATAATGAGTCAGGCTGCATGTAAAAGAAAATGCCCAGGCTCTTAAAATTGTGTTTGCTCTCTACACACATGCAAATGAAGTCATGTATCTCCCCAATGCCCTGATAACAAGCAAAAAGAAGCTGCTTACAAGCCCCTATCAGAATAAACAGATAGTCTTTTACTCTTAAAAAGAACTCAGCTTCTAATGACTGTTGACAGCATAGTCTATGTCTTTTTTCGTTGGAACTCACAGCTGAGTAGTTGTGCACAGGATTGCCCTGTAAATCTCACTGCATTGGATGTTTTTTTCCCCTCAATGTCAGCATGCCTTTGTCTCATGCAGGTCGTTCTTCATCCTACACCAAACAGCCCAAAACAATCAGAGTGGCACAAGATGACTGTTTCGAAAAACTGCCCTGATCATGACCTGAAAATCAAACTTGCCGTTCGAATGGATAAACCTCAAAATATGAAGCATTCTGGGTAAGATATTTCGTACTCAAAGGTGACTCCATGTTGACTCATTTCATTACCACCCACCCTCCGTATTTCACCTGATAAAAGAATGTGAAGCTTCATATCAGATTAGAAGTACAGTATACATCAGGCTAAACATTGAAGTGGTGGACTTTGACATAGAGACAACTGCCATTTTAAGTAACTCTTTTAATATTCTAAAACAAAGATCCTAATATTTGTGTTCCAACATTCCATCACCAAAGTAGTGTTTGTCTGTGTAGCATTTGCCCTTTGGAAATCTCATCCCTGGGATGTCCGAGATGCAGAAAGAATGTGCAGCAGCCCAGTCCTATCATTTGGCTGAGTGAGGCTACTGCTCCCACAGGCAGGGAACTGCATTAACCTCACCCAGGTCCCTGCTACCACCTCACCTCTCTTCTCCTTTACTGTACCTCAGTTTGTCTTAGCACTTTCTAACTTGCCTGCTGTGTGTCCTCCCAAGGGGAAAATATGTGCACCGAAGGTGGGAGGGCAAGTGGCAGGCCACCCAGTATGGAGATAAGCAGTGACAGTAATTAGGGGAAGACGAATGTTCAGGGGACAGTTGGATGGATTCATTGGGAAGGTAAGGAAGCGGGACAAGAATGTGGTACAACTGAGAGCATTAGTCCTTTCCTCACCTCAAACACTGGAAGCATTTAGGTCACCACTGCTATTCAGCTGCACATGACTGATGGAAGTGTTGTCTACACATTCCCAGTCTTGTCATTTTCATTACTATTTTATTTATGGTAAGATTTTAAAATAAAAAATATTTGTTATTTTTGCATTTCTAGCTATCACTTGCTTCTATTTAAGTTTATAAAATTCCCATATGTTTTCTATACTATGCTATAGTGTTTCATCATATGAACCTCTTAGAGATTTCACAGTGTCAGGTGATATAGAAATGCAATAAATAAAGACAAATCAAACAGTGTGCAGAATTTCCCAGGAGTATTGTTATTTAATTTCTGTGTCAGAAAGGAATAAGGAAACAATCTGTTCTGCATAAATCAGTAGTTAGAAGAGGTGCTTTTTCCCAACTTTTTGTGTCAGAATCACTAAGTGGTCATGACTAGAGATGGGCACAAATTAAAAAATGAATCACAAAATCCATTCAAAAATCATGAATTCATTGATTCATATTTATTTATTTATGTCTTTATTTAAATTTATACCCTGCCCATCTAGACCAAAGTCTACTCTGGGCGGCTAACAATAATAGATAAAATAAAAACAATATAATAAAAAAACAGTAGTAATATAGTTAAAGATGGGAAAAATAATCGAGTGATGACTGGAGGGAAATCATATATTGATACGAATCAATGCCCCTACAGATATCAAACATTTTTAGCAATTTATGATTCATTGATTTGACTATTAAACAGGCCCCCAGACATCTAGACACAAAAATTCAATGAAGCTTCCCCTGACACAAGCCCTACAAGTTTGGTGAAGATTGGATTCCAGATGTCCGAGTTATACACCACAAGGAGCTCATCCAGGAAAGTTCCCCCAGGCACCTAGAGACACCAAAATTATAGAGAAGTTTCCCATGACTGTCCCCTATAATCCCTCCAAACCAGTTGTGAAAGGGGACCCACTTTGTGGGTGTATAACTTGGATGTCTGAAACCCTACATCCACTGAGCTTAAAGGGATTGTAGAGGAGAGTCTGGGGAAGCTTTCCTACAAATTTGGTGTCTCTAGGTACCTGGAGAAAACTTTCCTGGGGGTACCTTCCTTGATGGTGTATAACATGGACATCTGAAACCCAAATAACTTGATGGTGTATAACTTGGACATCTGAAACCCAAACTTTACCAGTCCTGCTGGGCTTGTAGAGGAGAGGTGGGGAAGGTTCCCTGTGAATATGGTATATCTAGGTGCTTGGGGGGCTGTTTTATAGGGTCTTAAAGTAAAAATAAATTGATGACTCGATTCATAGATTCATCAGAAAAATTTCTAAATTCGTCATTCGTGATTCATCAACCTTGACAAATCACAAATCAAAATGAATCACCATTTTTCTGATTTGTGCCCATCTCAGTTCATGACCAGTGGCAGGTTTAGTCCAAAATGGTAGCTTTCTCAAGCCTTAGAAATCAAAGCAATGTATCAGCTTGTAGTTTGATTTTCTCACAGCGAATTCTCAGACTAGCAGTTGCTCCTTACCGTGCAGGAAAAACATTCATTGAAACAATTATAATTGCTTACTGCAAGATGTCAATCTCCACCACAAGTTGCAAACAAAAGGTCCCATAGTTTTTCAAAATATGTACATTTAGAAGTAAAAAAGTTTAGTAGAAACCAATTAACATTTTATAACACTATGAATCAAATATTTACATCAGGCTGTAGCACTATTATATTCCAATTATCCTCTTTTTAAGCTTGTGAATTAAGGCCTGTTAAAAAAAAAAAAGTGTCCACATCCATCTAATAAATTCATGACAGAGCGGAACTGTGAGTTCTACTTTCCTGTCCTATTTTATGAATTAAATGCTGTCCTGCAGGAAGATTTTCTATGCAACTTTCATGAAATATCACTTCCAAAGTGTCCACATATACTTCTAATGCCCATTTTTTTAGTGCCTAGAAATGGGTCAGAATTATGACTTCAAGCTGTCTGTAACATTCTAAAAGTAAAGGAACCAACTAGGTCCCTCCCCATGTGGGTCAAACCAACCCTGCCCTTTATTGTTAGAAAGTAAAAGTACTTTTAGAAAGTACTGTAAAAGTGCTTCCAAAAATAGTTAAGCTACCTGGAGGTTGCTGGCTGGTCTACAATCATGCTCTGTAGAGACTAATTTGACACTAACACTTCGTTTCCTAACTAAACTAATTAGCTTTGGCTTTTTGTCACATTTCCTTTTGACTCACAGTTAGTTCTGAAGACTACAGTACATTTAAATGATTGCGCCATCTGCCCTGTTCTTAGAGATTTAATGCTCCAGACCTCTATGAAGTCATTTACAATTTCCCCAGTAACTTCATTGGACTTTTAATCAAGCCATCAATAATGCAGCCTAGAATGTTTCTGCTAAATTATGCACAAACATACAGCATGTAGGCCAACTGCCTGTCAGTTTTATCTGCATAGATTTCGGGCTGATTTAAACATGATGCAAAGCAAAAAAAAAATCTTCCTTGCTTTCAGATGCCCAGCATCTCATTTAACCTGGGTCTTCAGCTGCTGTTTCTGTAGTGCCAATACTCCATTGTCGGCCCAGCTATGGCTCGGTGGCACACAAGGCAAAGGGACCTGGTGACACAAGACATGAGGTCTGGCTTCTTGTCACTTGATTGTAAATCAGGCCTTCACATCTGTCTCAGTTGTTTCATAAACAGCCACCTAGAATGGTCTTATAGGCCAGATGGGAGGGGTATAAATAAATAAATAAATAAATAAATAGATAGATAGATAGATAGATAGATAGATAGATAGATAGATAGATAGATAGATAGATAGATAGATAGATAGATAGATAGATAAATAAATAAATAAATAAATTCCTGTTTTCTGCACAGGGGTAATTCTGGAGAAATAGAGATGGGGATTGAACTTCCTATACTGGAATGGGGCATCTGGTTCCCTGGAATCTCTCTTAGGTTAACTAAGCTCTAAAGCTCTACCAGTAGTATCTATCACTCCAGCTTTGAAATAGAATTAGCAGCTGAAATAGAATTATAGCCGTAGAACTGGAAAGCTAGAAAAGGCTCCTGCGATGAACAGGAAATCAATAGTTAACTTTCAGACAGATGGCCATCTAGCTTCTACTTTAAAGCCTCCACTGGTGGAAATTCCACCTCTTCCCGAGGCAATCCATTCTATTCTGTCAGGAAAGTCTTTCTAAGTTTAGTTTAAATATCTTCTTGTAATGTGATTCCATGCTTTTGGTTCTGCCCTTTCGATCTGCAGATAACAAGCTTTCTCCATCTTCCATTTGACCGTCTTTCAGATGCTCAAAGATAACAACCATGTCATATAACCTTTCGTTGCATATGATCTTGTTCTTTTTCGTAGAAATGTTACTTAAGACGTTTCTTCTTCTTTTGTAGGTATTTGTGGGCCATTGGTAAAAATGTCTGGAAGAGGTGGAAGAAAAGATTCTTTGTGCTGGTTCAGGTAATATTTCAGCTAAAGGGGGCTGTTGCTGTTGCCGTATGTTCTTACACCACGTGATGTCTTTATTATTAAAAATATTAATATATAAAACTGTATTTTATGTTTTGACAATTATTTTCATATATTTTAATGCTCTGGAAAAGTATAAATTTTGCGAACTGATACAGAGGATTGCTTAAGATTGTAGGCTGTGAACAGAAAATGCGACAGTTCAGCTCATTACCACATCCATGAATCCACTAGAGCAGTGGGCCCCAACCTTGGGCCTCCAGATGTTCTTGGACTTCAACTCCCAGAAATCCTAGCCACCAGTAGTGGTGGTGAAGACTTCTGGGAGCTGTAGACTGCTTAAGATTGTAGGCTGTGAGCAGAAAATGCTACATTTCAGCTCATTACCACATCCATGAATCCTAGAGGACCTTAGATTAGCCATGGTTTTGTATAATAATATATACTATAGGAACGTCTGGAGGCCTAAGGTTGGGGACCTCTGCACTAGAGGACCTTAGATTAGCCATGGTTTTGTATAATAATATATACTATAATATAATAAGCTTAGAACTTCAGGGCTGGAAGGGACTCTATGTATCATTTGTCAATGAGGCACAGTGGTGAAACAAACTCTCAACCTCTGGTTCCACAGCCAGATACCTAAACTATTGTATGTTTGTGTCCATCTTCCCCATCCAAAATATAAGGATAACCAGCAGCTCTTTAAGAGGTACAGTAAAGAGCCATGAGAGTACTGTGGTCTATGAATGTGCCCTGCCCCCAACATCTCATCCCTGTATCTTCCATAAGTAATCCATATATTAAGGGCATGTCTATAAAATATGTTGAATGTAGAAGGCTGTTTCCATGATGTGAGGCCCACTTCATGCATCATAGGGGAATAACATCTTAATTCCATAGACATATCTTCAGATGACTTTTCCTCAGTATTTGGAAGGTTAAATGGACAGAAGTGGCAGGAGACACAATGGTTGGACTAATAGGGGGTGGCTTCTCTCCTCCCCTCACAGAAAAATGGAATGGCATAGGCTGTGGAGATTTCTCTGTCCACATCAAGTTGGTCTCCATCTCCAAGCCTTCCTCTGCAGAAGGAGATTAATGAGATCCCGTGGCCCCAAGGAACAAGATGTTTCAGTGTAAATTTGTACAAAAGTATTTTTAATGTAATTTAGAGTGCTGTCCTCTGAAGATGCCAGCCACAGAGATTGGCGAAACGTTAGGAAGAAAAACTTTCAGAACACGGCCAAAGAGCCCAAAAAAAACCACAACAACCAATTTAAATATCCTTAAGTCAGACTGCATAAGACACAAGGCTTCCTTGTTTTGAAGATTGATTTTTAAGTTTAATTTTCAGTTCTTTTCTTCTTATGAACACCCTTAAGTCAGACTGCATAAGACACAAGACTTCTCCTTGTTTTGAAGATTGATTTTTAAGGTTAATTTTCAGTTCTTTTCTTCTTATGAACTTTGTTGCTTAATATTTTTGAATATTGTAAGAAGGCTGCAGTGCTTCCCCTCATTTAGGAAAAGCAACACAAGTTCTACTTTATTTTTAGACGAATGTTTATGTGAGCATTTATGTATCATACATTAGCATAGAGAAAGGTTGCCTTGGTGTTGGTTTGGTTTGGTTTTGGTTTTGTCAAGATTCTTGAGTATACTGAGATACTTTGCTTTGTTTCAAGCCCTGGTATTAATGCAAATGACCTTGCATGAGTCATTATTCTTGAATAAAAAAAAGCTTAAAAAAAAAAAAAAAAAAAGCCCACAAAATGGAGCGTTTTGTGGTTTGTTTCAGGGTGCCTCAGGGAAATGTGTATGCCCAGAGCGAAACAAAAATTGATGCTAGCAATTTGTATACTTTGTGGCCCTGGTATTAATGCAAATGACCTTGCATGAGTCATTATTCTTGAATTAAAATGAGCTTGAAGCAAAAAGAAAGAAAGAAAAAAAGAAAAAATCCCACAAAGTGGAGTGTTTTGTGGTTTGTTTCAGGGTGCCTCAGAGAAATGTGTATGCCCAGAGCGAAACAAAATTCCAAACTATTATTGATGCTAGCAATTTGTATACTTTGTGGTCCATGTGGTTTGGAACTTCCAGGATTGGTATAACAGCCCCTGCATGAGTTAGAGATGCCAAACTTGCAGTAAGTCTTCAGCTGACTCTCCTCCCCACCGCCTCCCTGTTTAGTGAGGATTGGATTTGGAACGTCTAAATTATTTAAAAAAACACCTCCAAAGCATGTACCTCCAGAAGAGTGCTCTTTAGCCAGCTGCTAATTAGGACTGATGACTGAACCAAGGTATACAAAATATCTAACTATTTCAGTTTCTTCATTATATGTGTTAAAGTTGTGTAGTTCTTCTGCAGTAATGATTTTTATCTTCTCCATGTTCGGGTGCAGTCCTGCTTTGGCAGTTTCTTCTTTCACAGGGTAGAGTGAATAGTTCTTAAATCAGACGGACCGTTTTCTAGGTAGTAAGGGAGGAATTGCCTCCAGTGTATTTCAGATAAGGATGAAGATGGAATGGTGAGCTGATAATTCAGTTCCAACTTACGGCGACTCTCTGTGGGTATTGATAAATAAAGTGTCAATCCATTCTTACGCTTGGCAACACTGGCAACATGCAGCTTGCCCAAATTTGTGTAGCTGACAGAGCATCTAACCACATCAGCCTCACATTTTCCAGGTGATCTTGACCATCCCCACTCACAGGAGACACAGTACAGCCTTGAATTCTTGAAGCCATTGCTGCGGTGGCCCATGCTGTACAAGTTCAAGATTACGCTAGTGACAATTGAAAACAGGGTCAACAATAGAAGCATCAATAGAAGCTCACTGAAGCATTAATAGAAGTACACTGAAGAAAATACTCTATCTCCTCCCCACTTTGAGAACCTTACACTGATAGTTTATTGGCTTCACTGTTTAAGTCAAATAATCTTAGACCTCCATCTAAGATAGGAAGTTTTTTTTGGGCTAGAGGGCTACTCTTGCTGCATGCTTGGGAAGGAGCTGGAAGAGGACTGTGGAGAGAGGAAGCAGCGTTATGCTAGAGGATATCAATCTCGTGTGAAAAGGAGAACAGGTCAGGTAAATAAGGAAGGGAGCACCTACATGACTCTAACTATCTGCCACCATCACTACTGCTCTCTGTAGGAACATGGCTCTTATCTCCTGGGCATAATGTTGTTTAATTCTCACTTCCAAACGATTATTCATGCTGAATAAATATCTTGTTTTATTGAGTTATATCCTATTTGATACCCTGTTATCAATTTGTATAATCCAAAACAGAATAATCTGTTTTAACTATTGATGTTACAGAACTTTATAATTACCCAGTATGGGATGTATACTTGATATTCCAGTAAATTCAAGCTGTACTGGCTACAACTTCATTATCCCAATAAAAATGCAATTTGAGAAAGAAAATAACTCTTCCTCCGGTTCCAGTCTATTGATCTCATGAAGCCCAGGCACCCTGGCAAGTCTATTTATTTATTTATTTATTTATTTTATTTATGAGATCACGTGGCCCCAAGCAACAAGATGTTTCAGTGTAAATGTGTAGATCACATACAGACCTCTTGTGTTCCCACTGGCAAGGTACATTTCTCAGAATTTCTGTCTATCTTTCTCTTGCTATGTTACCAGTAAGAAAGAGCATGGACAGAGTTTGCTTCCACCCTAGTAGTATCCAGGGACTAGGCAGCCAGAAGCCTCTGGACTCAGATATTTGAAGAGATCACATACAGACCTCTTGTGTTCCCAGTGACATCAGAAATTGACTTAGACATGGCTGAAAATCAAGGAAAAATTCTCACTGCTTATGTTTGTTTTAGAAAGATAAATGCATTTTGATCAGCTCAATTCTAAACAGAACCATTGGGTGTAACCTATCACTACAGTTAATGATTTAGCAGCCATTCATTTACTAATGATAAGCATTATACTAAGTGTGTTGGTTCTGTTCTGTCAAGTTGGAACCAACTTAGTGATCTTAATAGGGTTTTCAAGGTAAGTCAGATATTGAAGGAGTGATTTTACCAGTTCCACTCCCCTAGTGACTTTCCATGGCCAACTAGGGATTTGAACCCTGTTTTCCAGAGTCCTCATCTATCACTGATCACACTGGGAAATACATACTAAATACAACTATTATTGATTGTTCTAACCAGTCAAAGCTCTCCAAGGAGCCATACAGACTCATTTTTCCTGGTCCTGCAAGATTTTTCACCTGGATATTCTGACAATTTCTGACAATCATTCTGCTTTTTCTTCAAACTGTGATTGAAACCATTTTGCATAGATAGCTTCTGTATTTGTTGTACTGATTCTGTTATGCAGAAAGTGTTTAGTCATAGACAGACAGACAGCAATGTACATACATATACTTTGGGATGCAAGTCCAGAAAAAAAGTAAGTACTGTTGTAATTTTTTGTGTGCCTTTCTCTTCTGCTCTGGTAGCAAATTTGCCCTCTGAAATGAACATAATGCTAATTGCATGCAAATTTCATGGCACAGACTTTTTATTCAACTCATTGTAAATTCTGAGATATGCAGTGTGAAAGTGATGGCAGAATATGACCCCAAGGTTAGGAATGAAAATGTGTCCACAGCATCCTAAATCAGTGGAAATGCATGGCAAAACCAGCTTAAAGCTTATAACTAACTGAAAAATTCCATGAAAGCTTTTACATTGAATAGATTTACTCTTGTAAGTGCAAAAAGTACAACTTTTGGTCATCCAGGATTATAAAGCAATCACTTTTTATCTCCCAAATATCTCCTATTTTCTTTTTTTAGATAAGTCTGCAGAGGATGAGAAAATGAAAGCCAGGGTCCCTAAAGTCTGACAGCATGACTCTGTTAGAAAAGATTAGTTTTCTACAACTAAAAAAGATTACTTTTATAAGATAACACCACAAAAAGCAAATGTTCGAGTCATCATTCCTGAAGTTCTGCAAAAATCAGCCTTTGCTG